TAACTCAGTAGCAGTTTGCAGCAAGAATGGGTCGACCTGGAAACTATCGCGCTCTTACAAAGTACCAGCTGCGTGAAGTGTTGTACGAATATATGTAACATAACATAACATAAACACTCACGCCTGTCACCCAGAGGGGTAGGCAGAGACTACAGACTTCCATTGGGCACGATCCTGACACACCTCTCTTGCCTCCTTCACATCCATACACCTACGCATACATGCTCGTCGGTTAAGGGTACTCCTAATTTGGCCCGTTTTCAATAAATCGCCAATTTGGTTGATAAATTTTCGCCTAGGACGTCCCTTTCCGACTCTGCCATTCACTTCTGCACCATAAATTTTCTTTGTCACTCTTTCCTCATTCATTCTTTCCACATGACCAAACCACCGAAGCATTCCTTTCTTAATCCTGGTCACAACATCATCTTGCAAACCACACTCTTCTCTTATTACACAATTTCTTACCCTGTCATTCAGATTCAGCCCTAACATACTCCTTAACGACCGCATTTCTACTGCGTTTATTCTACTCTCGTGCTTCTGCCACACCCAACTTTCACTACCATACGTTAAAGTAGGGACCAACACAGAATTGTGAATTGCCATACGTGCCTTTTTCGACACATTTTGACTCTTCACAATAGAGTGCAAGGCCCCATTTACTCTATTTCCCGCATTCACTCGTCGTTCTATATCCTTATCACATCTCCCATCCCTGCTAAATACGCAGCCCAAATATACAAACTCATCTACTTGCTCGATCAACTCCCCTTCTATTCTTATTTCACAAATCGTTTTACTTTCTTCTCTTTCAAAAACCATAACCTTCATCTTACTTGCGTTCACTTTCATACCCCTTTCTTTTAATGATCTGTTCATTAATGTAACCATCATTTGCAACTCGGCCGCCGACGATGCAAGGATAACTTGATCATCGGCGTACAAAAGGCATTTGACGGTTAACTCACCCATTCTTAATCCGCATTCTTCAACTTTCAAATTTTGCAAACAACTGTCCATAAATAGGTTGAACAGCCACGGGGAAGCCACACAGCCCTGTCTGGTACCTTTATGGATATCAAACCAGTCCGAATAGACCCCGTTGATCCTAACACAAGCACTAGAGTCCCTATAAAGAGACTCCAATGCCTGTATCAAGCCAGCGCTCAACCCAAATGAGTTCAGTGTTTGCCATAGCAAATCCCTATCCACTCTGTCATAGGCCTTTTCCAAGTCCATGAACGCACAAAAAACCTTTTGGTTTTTGGCCAGAAACTTCTCCGCGATCATGCGCATGGAAAAGACTTGATCTGTACATCCCATTCCCTTTCTAAATCCCGCTTGCACATCCCAAATTTTTCCATCAGTTTCTTTCATGACCCTTTCAATCAGTACCTTAGCATACAGTTTTCCCACAATGCTAAGAAGGCTGATGCCACGGTAGTTTTTACAGTCCTGCTGCGACCCTCTTGCTTTATATACTGGGACTATCACGGCTTGGCACCAGTCTACCGGTACCCGCTTCAGTTCCCAGCATAAATTAAACAAGGTGTGCAGCAGGTCTGCCACCACTTCCTCTCCAGCCCTTAGCATTTCGAGTGAAACTCTATCATATCCGGCAGCCTTACCTGCTTTCATGCTTTTCATTGCTTTCATTATTTCATCTATACTTATCTCGCTACCTCTTTCCTCTTCTTTCGGTGTTTCTACTTCACTCTTAGTACACACGTTGTCTCCTCACTCATAAACACGCTTTCAAAATATTCCTTCCATCTCTTTAAACTCAAAACTTCATCATTCAGAATATAGCCATTCTCGTCTCTTATAGCATTCATCATAGGCTGTTTTGAATGTCCCCTGGCAGTTCTTACAAGTTTTCGGAACATTTTAATATTTGCCTGGAAGTTATCCGATATTCTTCTATCATTCTTATACGTTCTTTCTTGCTTTTTTTTCTTGCTTTTTTGCTCACGAATATAATATGTGTATATATAATATATATATATATATATATATATATATATATATATATATATATATATATATATATATATATATATATATATATATATATACACTTGGTCAGATCATAAGTTATGTCAAAAACTTTTTATCAAATTAATGATACACTTTTTGATAATTATATAGAAATTATATATGAAATGAAAGGTAATTTAATTTAGAATACAATTTTATTTACATTATTCAAAATGCCCTCCCCTATTTTGAATACATGCCCTTAATCGACGCGGCCAATCATCAGTCGTAGCACGCACCACCCTCATATCTATTTCTGCCGCTGCTTTAGACAAAGATTAGGAGAGATAGCCGGAGAGATTACAAATTCTGATGAGTTTTAGCATAGACTTTCTCTTTCAAATATTGCCATATCTTATAATTCAGTAAGCTTAAATCTGGACTAGGGTCAGTTTTCATGTCCGATAGTCTATTCCATGGGCGGTCAACCAGTTTTGCGTGCTTTGTGCCTTATGAGCTGGTGCAGAGTCCTGTAAGAATATCCAATGTCTCTTTTTGAACATTGTTTGAGAATGAGGTTCCACTATATTAGTTAGGACGGTATTTTGGTACACCTAGGCACTGGTTTTTACACCTTTTTCACAAAAAAAAAAACACCTCTATTAAACCTGAATATGAGACTCCAAGTCAAACCATGAGTGACCTGACGAAGGAAAATGTGCCCGTTGAACCCTCGGAATACGCGTGCTGGCTTCTTGACTGCTGTGGGAATACACCTTATCATTTTGTTTATTATAACTTTCCTCGATGTTAAAATTTTTTTCATCCGAAAACAAAATATCGCGATATTTTTCCCGCATACTGGCGTAACAAAGCCCGGGATTTATCCAGCCTAATTTTTTTAAAACGCACGGTTCACAAAATGTCCGGTCTTCTTACGATAAGCACGTAGTCCTAGGTCTTCATTGATCACTATTTTGACCGTGGTTCTGCTTAGGCCCATCTGAAGAGCTTTTTTTGTTTACGAACAGGATTTCGTTGGATTCGCGCCTTCACTGCTTTGATGATCGCGGGTGTTCTAACTGTACGAGGTCGGCCGGTCCTCTTACGATCTTCGAAATTTGAATCTTCAGTGAATCGCTGGATACTGTGATAAACAAATCGTAGGGTTATTTTCAATTTTTGAAGAATATTGAAAATTACTTTTGGCGCGTAACCACAGCGGTGCAACGCGATAACCGCTACTCTATCTTCTTTCTTCGACCACTTCATATTTGAAAATGAATGTCTTTTTTATTTTTATCATTTCATTTAATTTCGTTTATGTCATATTTTATATATATATATATATATATATATATATATATATATATATGTATATAAAAAGATATATGTGCATATTCGTAGTCTACCTGTTAGCATGTAAGCTATTACAAATTATGTAATAAAATGATGTGTCTTACCTAGTTTGAACACCACCTCCCTCACCTCTCTCACCTCCTTCAATGCCGTGCACTATCCCCGTCACCACTACTCCCAACACCACTACTCACTTAGAGAAAGTCTACTTCACCTGAGAATGCCTCGTGTAGAGGCGAAATACGTATCGATGGTGTGTCTTTCCTAGTGTACTGGATAGTGGTGTCGAGGATAGTGCACGCAATTGTGGGTGGGCGGGAGGTACTCTTCAAACAAAGTAAGACATCATTATATTTTATTACGCTGATCTAAGCAAATTAATGTTTAACACTTTAATATAATGGATTTCCGTAAAGTAACACCTGATTCAATTAATTATCGAGTGCACGAAATTAATTTTATTAATTAATTTCGTGCATTCGATAATTAATTGAGGAATTGTTCGGATTAATCCCAGCCGCCAAATTTCGTGAACGCACTACGCGGCAAACGTCCCGATACCATCCACACCATCTGGATGCTTGGCGGTCCACCACTGTACGTTTCAAGAGGAGTTTTCCTCCGCGTACAACCTCTCTGTGGAATAGTTTACCACCAGCGATTTTTCCGGACCGATACGACCTGGGGACCTTCAAGAAAAGAGCGTACTCCTTTCTAAAGGGCCGGCAACGCACCTTCAATTCCCCTGGTGTTGCGGTTGATCATGGGCGGCGGTAGTCACTTAACATCAGGTGAGCCGCATGCTCGTTTGCCCCCTCTTCTATAAAAAAAAATTGCGAAAAAACGCTTCCCTCTCTAATTAGCATTTAGGCACAGTACATCGTCCGATCGAGTTTCTATTTCAAATAAAAATAAAAATATTCTTGACTAACGTGGTCTATCAACACGATAGAGGGTTTATTGTCAAAAGTAATAATCCAAAAGACTATCATCAAAAATCTCGTAAATACGTGATTTTTGATGATAGTCCGGTCCAAGCCCAGTAGCCTGGTGCTGTTATTTTTGAGCACACCCTCAAAAAACTATCTGTAATAAAACGGAAGATGTGCACCTACCGGCTTCACCCACCAGGTATGGTGGACACCCTACCGCATCCATAGGTGGGCTTCCCGCATCCAGATTCCTGTTTGATATGTTTTCGTGCATCTGATATGTATTTCAAAATACGAAAGCATCGATCAAGAAATTAGCCACAGTAGGTTGTGGTGCGGTTCCTGAGCCACCCCAAATGCGCGGACATTTACATAATATATAAAATAATTTATTTATTAGGTACGAAATAGCAGTAAATACAAGCGGGAGTAAACAGAAATTTCAAAAGTGAAGCCGGTGGGTGCAAGGGTCGTATCTCATAATGAAGCAGTTTCTGGAGCATGAAGCTGTACTTCAGAACCAGCCGAATGACTAGAAATGATTATGACTGATAAATTTGCTCAAGGCAATGATTTCTATATACCTTGTTCTCCTACATCTTTAAAACTGCTTGTTGCATTCTACATATCAATAAAACTATATCCCTCTCTTTCAGTACGTTGGTGCCATGGAAACACTTTCGCGAGGAGCTGAACAACGTTCATCCGATATCATCGGGTCTGGAGACGATGGCGTTGAAGACGACGATAGACCTCACCTGCAACGACTTCATATCGAACTTCGAGTTCGACGTGTTCACGAGGTAAATAGATGTCTATAGTTTGTATGACTGCCACGTTGGTCTAGTGGTTGATCGTAAACGCAACAGCTTATCGTGAGGTCCCGGGTTCGTATCTGGTCGGCCCATACAAATTAATTGAGTTGTTCTGTCAAGTTACTTGTCAGAGTTAGGAAGTTGGGGGTTGATTCAACCCTGTGCCTCAGAAAGCACGTAAAGCCGTTGGTCTTGCGCCTGATCTTTCTTCGGTCATATCGGTTTACGGTCTCATCGGACTATGAGAGTGAGGGAATAAACAGTGCACCTGTGCTTGAGTATACACATACACTCAGGTACCATAATCCTTCCTTGCGCAGATAGAGCTAGTCTCCATTGAAGGTGACCGCCGTGACATAAATTCCGTCTGGGCAACATCATTATCAAACTCGTAGTTAGTGTATTAAAATATTTGTACTTCACTCTAATCTGTATTCACGCATGAAAAAATAATTATTATTATTATAAAATCTATACGTCGTATATATCATGAAGTCCTTTACAAGGCAACGCACCCTACTTACCCTGTAAGTGGCCGAGGCACTTCAGTGATTGAATAGATTGTACAAGTTAAACAACGGTGCTCTTAAACGGCCAAGCGCTCTACCATTTATCTTCAAGTGAGCATTTATCAAAGAGACATCCTCTGCAAAGAATCGTAAGTGGTTGAGGGCAATATATTGTAACATTGAGACGAAGTTTAGTGGACTCGATCGAAAGTCTGAATATTTCTATCATTTCTAAGCCTACCGTTACCGTTACAGCCACTAAAGTTCACTGCTGAATATAGGCCTCTCCCATAGATTTCTTCAAAGAGGGGATATTTGCCACAGTTGGCACGCTTGGCAAGCGGGTTAGCAACCGCAGTTTTTTTATTTTTAATCGTTATTAGGAAGACGCTGCTGCCCATCTCCTGATTTATTTCCCTCTGTCGCTTCTTACGCACACACGGGAAGATATGGGGTATTGGATATTCTTACAATATAACAGAGAACGCGAGTAACCTGGGTTCGATCCCCGCCGGCACCAATATTCAAAAAATATCGTGCTCGGCGGTGAAGGAAGAAGAACACGTGAGGAAACCTGCATGTCTGAAGAATAAGAAAAAAATATTGCTAAGACATGTGAAGTTCGTCAACACGCATTAGCGCAGCGCGGCGGACACTTCCTAGCCCTAAAACCTCTCAGAAATGAGGGGAGGCCTGTGCCCAGCAGTGGGACGTATATAGGCTGTAACTTTACTTTACTTTTATATTCTTACAATGCCACTGCAATGTCTCTGAGCCTAGCAGTGTAAATATAATGCCATCAAAAACATAACTTGTAAAAGAAACCAAGTCTCGCAACTCAGTTCTTCTATCGTAAAAAGTGGTGAGATCCAAGTAATACCAAGTCAATTGATTTATTCAGTCCCTACTTAAAGGGTCCTTCTGTTTTAAGTTATTACGTAATTAGCCAACCTAACAACATTTATAGTGACCATATCAATGTTAAAAATCTTTTATGTTTCAAATAAATAGATAGACTTGACCATCGCATGAAAACACAATGTATCTCACAAGTAATATATATTATATTAAATTAGATTGCTTAGTGCGATTGTGTTCTAAGTTTGAAAGCTTCTATGTCTGCTAGAAGTACCTAGAAGTTTTGAGGATCGGTCAGTCAGTGAGTGACAAAATTAAGAAACTTTGACTTATTATAATTCCTAAACTACTGGTTCAAATTGAATGAAATTTGAAATATACCGTGTCTACTATACAATGCCTGCTTGGTTTCTCAAAATTCAGGTTTCTAGTTCTATCCACAACGAAGTTATAGGGGTTCGAAAATGGCCTGAATTGCTTCGAGAGAAGTTATGGTACGGCCGTGCCGCTTTTTTGCTCGACTTGGCGGATGTACTAATTATCTGTGCGTAGATCGATAGCATTGAGTAGAAACTTTTGTGTATTCCGTAATCGATTGCGTTCAGTGAACTAACTATCCTATCCACAATATATAACATTCGCACAAAAACTTTCACATCTATCACCAAGATTAGTTTTTACCTACCCCGGAAACCATGAACTTCCATTTGGCACAATCCTGACACACCTCTCTTTCGCTTATTTCACATCCATATATTTACGCATATATACTCATCGATTAAGGGTACACTTTCTTTAGCTAATATTCAATATTTCGCCAATTTAGTTGATAACCTTTCGTTTAGGGCGTCCCTTTCCAACTATACCAGTCACTTCTGCAGCATTCATTTATTTGCTTTATCTGTCTTTCTGCGTTCATTATTTCTTTATACTAGTCTACATCTAGTATACGAGTATTTCTATAGAATTTTTTTAACTCTTATGTTTCTTCTGCCATACCTAACTTTGAATACTGTAGTACATTGTAGGTGACGACTAACTCAGCATTGTGAATTACCATACGTTCCCTCTTTAACGTTTTAAGAGCCGTGGTAGCTCAGATGGTTTACGCTCGCTGTAAATATAACATAACGCGAGTAACCCGGGTTCGATCCCCGCCGGCACTAATGAAATAGTTAATTTCAAGTGCTGATTTACCACGTGCTCGGCGGTGAAGGAAGGAAACATCGTGAAGAAACCTGCATATCTGAGGAATAAGAAAAAAATATTTCGAAGACATGTGAAGTTCGCCAACACGCATTGGGGCAGCGCGGCGGACACTTCCTAACCCTAAAACCCTCTCAGAAATTAGGGGAGGCCTGTGCCCAGCAGTGGGACGTATATAGGCTGTAACTTTACTTTTATACGTGCCTCTTTTGGCACGTTCTGCCCTCCCACTATATAAAGGATTTTTCCATTTACTCTGTGTCCTGTATTCACCTTTCTTTTTATGTCCTTATGTCTACCATATCTGCTAAGCACACATCGTAAATACGCAAACTCATCCACTTGCTTAACCAACCCCTTCTATTTTAAGATTTAAGAGGCGAAAGAAAAACTGCATGTGAATTCTTTCGCCTCTTTCAAAAACCATCACTTTCGTCTACTTTTATGATGTCATCCATATATATATCCATATATATATTCCACCATCTCTTTCCTTTTTTCAGTCTGGTTGTTACTTCACACTTAAAGATGCTTTCAAAGTATTGCTTCCATCTTTTTAAACTCGAAACTTCGTCATTTAAATTCAAAATACAGCCATTTTTGTTTCGCGCAGTGTTCTATATTCTGATCTGACACTCATATAAAGCGAGTAATAAAAAATCATCTACTAGACGTCCTACAAAGGAGAAGTTTTGATAAGCTTAGCAGACGGGTTGGTTATCGCTGTGTCGGAAATTTTCTTTCGTTCTTGGCAGTAGAGCCCATTAGATAAATTTGGTGTTCAGTCTTAGTCGATGTTGTGATAGCGTTATAGAATAGAGTCGTAGAAAAATATTTATTGGTTGTGTTTAAAATATAATTTAAAAGTGCAAAGTCAAAATAGAAGAAAAATACAAGAACATAAAATATTTTTCATTTATTTAGCTATAGACCTGGTGGTCTATTTTTTATTCGTTTTTGTAACGGCCATTAATTGCAGTTCTAGTTGCCCTTACCTTATATAGGCATAAGCAAAGTTTTTTTTATATTTTTCTGTTAACTATTATGACTTGATCATACAGAATATCACCCGATTCCGACTTGACGTCGACTTCTGAGATATTCTGTTCTGTATAAAGTTGCGTATTTAAGTAAGCTTTGTAAATGAATTCTTATAATATATGGAAGGCATATCTTGTACAATAGTTTAAAAAAGAAGACGTAAATTTCGCCGAGAAATTAAATATAATAATGTTAAGAACAATCGGTTCACGAACTCTAGTCGTTATTAACTTATCTACAGCAAAATATTACGATTACAATAATTAAATTTCTACGCTTATTTTTTACATTTCAGGTTATTCCAGCCCTGGAGCACGTTACTTCGCAACTGGCAGCTGTTGGCCGTCACTCACCCCGGTTACGTCGCTTTTCTCACATACGACGAGGTGAAGGCCCGCTTGCAGAAGTATATACATAAAACTGGAAGTTACGTGTTCAGGTTAGTTTGGTACATAATATGTTAGAATACTATAAAATAATAAAATTAATAGCTTAAACTTAAACAAGCATGTGTTGCATATAATCAACAAAAAGTCAAAATAACCCTAATTTGCTGATTCTGATATTTACCTTTAGTGAGTTCAGCTGTCTGCCATTATCAGGTTAGCTTAAAGTTACAACCTATATACGTCCAACAGCTACACAGGCCTCCTCTCGTTTACTATCATGTCTATGGAGCAATTATTCTGTCGTACTGCTCCACACGTGCGTGTTAGCGGACTGTAATTATTTGTGTAGGTTTCCTCACAATGCTTAATTTCACCCACGACCATACGGTAAATTTGTAATTGACTAAATTAAACTAAGTTTTACGGATTTTATCGCATAAGTTAACTTATTTCAAATTCCCGGAAGATATTTTTTTTTATCATGTATAAATATGTTAAATAAATAAATTAAAAAAAAATACGGAGGGGACAGTCGCTCATTCAAATGTGTAGTGTTCTTGTAAATATAAAAAAATCATTTTGCAATTGACCCTTCTTACTGGAAACGAGGTATTCCATCTGAGTCCTCTCGGGTGACAATGCATCTGCATTTTGATTCGTGGTCGAGGATAGATGTAGATGTGTATGGGCCACAACAACCACTTACCATCAGGTGGACTGTGTGCTTGTTTGTTACCCTATCCTATAAAAAAATTTATTGATGCGTACAGGGATCGGACTTTGGTTGCCTGACCTTTGAGGGGACAAAACCTCGACCGATCACAGTCCATTGGCTAAACATGGATCTATCCCGTTGTATAACTGGTGGGAATCGTCGTTGACTTCGCTTTGACATTTGGTTTTTGTTGTATTGTGTCAATGTGTCAATGTCGATTATTAGTCGATGTTTTGTTATATAAATATCTTACTTTAGGTAACGAAATGTTATCATAATAAAGAAACGTAATGCAGTTTGCACAGTTTTAACCAGAGTTATAAACTCACTGCTGGTCTGTCAACCGACAAGGCGCAGTGCGTGCAGGTGGCGTCGACTTTTAGAGAAAATAATCGCGTAAATAATTTCTCGTACAACCCAAGTAGTCCTCGATTGTCATTTTTTACCTTCTGAAGCAGTACAAAATTTAATATATATATATAATATTAAAGCGAGAGTCATTCTGAAGCAAAAGAATATTCATGCTATTCATTCCGAAGCAAAACAATCTTCATTCTATTATGGTGGTTATTACAGATTATCGTGCACACGTCTCGGTCAATGGGCGATTGGCTACGTTACTGCTGACGGTGAGATCCTACAGACGATACCGCAAAACAAGAGTCTCGTGCAAGCTCTCCTCGACGGTTACAGAGAGGGATTGTAAGTATGCATATTATCTTTTATTCTCTAATTATAACTCTTGATACATAACTTTAAATTTAACTTTAAATTAGACGTATCGGTCGATATTTTATGTTATTCGTAGTACGTATGGTGCCTCAAATCATTTCTTTGCTTTGGAAAGGGGACCAACGAGCGCAAAGTCACCTATATATTTTCTTAAGGATCAAAATTCAGATCCGTCTCCTAAGATCGTCCATGTGGATCGACTGGCGCGTTATTATGGGACTGATAATGCTCGGGACGAGCATGTCTTAGGAGGAGGCAGTGTTGCCACTAGCGCCATCTGGTATCAAGTATCAGAAATAGAAGTGTCAAGATCTTTCTGGAACTCTCCCAACAGCGCCAGTTAGTAACGAATAGAAAAATTAAGCTATCTAGAAAAGTCCACGATCGAACTTTCCGCACTTAGTCGTTCGGGACCGGTATTTGCTGCAACATTCTGGATGTTTCGGTGGAAAAGGTGTATTTAAAGCCGCTGCAAGCCGCGATCAGAGCAGTATTGAATTTGGCGATACAAGCGAAGCTTCGGAGCGAATAAAAGTGAATCAGTGTGATTAATTACTAGTGTCTTTTAAGTTTTAGTTGGTGTTCGGTAATTAAAGTGTTAATTTTGGTAATTCAATCGGCAGTTTTTTATTGTCACGAACGCTAAGCTCATAACATTACCTATTATGATTACAGTGGTGTTCGCTACTAGTAAAACAGGTCTCCGATTCTTGTCACTTACCATACGAAAGGCATGCTTCTTCATGTTTGTGTTGTGTGGAGGGAGTAATCCTTCCTCGGTTGAGCCGACCCATTCGTGCTAAAGCCATTATCTGGCTGTAAAATGTCTCTAGCACGTAGAAAATTAAAAAAAGTATTTAAATGTAGTAGTCACCTTCTCCGATGGGGAAGAAAGGTTCTCGAGTGGCAGTCTCGTACTGGTAGGCGAAGTGTGGGGCGGCTCCCCATTACATGGAGTGACGACCTGGTAAGACATGCAGGAAATCGATGGTTGCAGGTGGCTCAGGACCGTGCTTTGTGGCATTCCTTGGAGGAAACCTTTGTTTAGCAGTGGACTTGTGAAGGACTGTGCTGATGATGATCATGATGAGGAATCACCTTCTTGAAACTGAGTCTCTTTACAGTTGAATACTCTTACATAAAATGTCTTAGATCTTAAGAAAACTTTCGATTGCCACGTCATTTCCTACGCCCACGCCACGTCTTATTGATATTGGATCCAACGCCGCGATTAATCTTGATTTGTGGCCACTGAAACTTATGAGCCATAATTTAGTATTTTAAAAATAAACAACTCACACGTCACTTCCTCGGATAACAAGATACTTTGTGCAATATTTATATTTATTGAAAAATACGTGTGGAATTTGAAATTTTTAAAATATTTATTAATAATAGGTAGGTTTATTATAGGTAGGACCATGCTGCGGCTATTTTATGGTTGTAGCACGAATCGGTAGGCTCGACCGGGGAAGGACCACGGAATCTCGCAGAATACCAGCGTAAAATAGCAGTTTAATTCTGTTGTTTCGATGGTAAGTTTAGAAAATCGTAACCCTTTTTACTGGAAACGGGGCTTTCCATATTAGTCCTTAGGAGTGACAACTCATCTGAATTTTGATTCTAAATCGAGGATAGATTTGGATGTATCTGGGTCACAGCGTACACTTACGACCGGGTAGATTGTGTTTTTGTTTCCCATCTTTTTTCTATAAAATGAAAAAACTAAATAATAAAAAAAAAAAAAAAAAAAAAGGGGATTTTGAGACACTGGCAGCGATGTTAAATGCTTTGGATTGTTTCGTTTCAGCTATCTGTATCCAGATGGTCGGGATGTGAACCCGGACCTTAGCAGTGCGATAATTTCACCGGCCGAGGACCACATTACCGTGACACAGGAACAATATGAGTTATATTGTGAAATGGGTATGTTTATATTTATAGAAACAAATAACCTATAATTTCTTCTGCAATTTGTTTTATTTTCAAAATAGTATTTGCTGTACAATCAAATTAGACATCAAATAATAAGATATATTATGTTGACTATATTTACAAATTCTAGGATACGATAATCAAATATATTTATTGTAGTTCAATCATTTTATGTTTTACAAACTCTTAATGAAATAAGTATAACAAACAATTACAGTCCACCTGATGGTATATGAATGATGTGGTCAAGTTCAAAGTTCTGTGAAAGGGTTCTTAAAATAAACTTTAATAATATAAAGTAAACAAAATTATGTCAAGCATGTTCTGATAGCCCATAAATTGTGAACAATTGGTGTAATAAATTTAAACAGGAGATTTACAAACTCTAAGAAAAATCTCGGCCCCGAAATGAAGTCATACATGAGAAAAACTTGTGTGTAGCATTTGGTGGCATGCTTAAGGAGTAATTAAGTAACAAGTTTGTGCAACTTAACTGGAAAATAAATTTCATAATGGAACCTCGACTCGACAAAGCTATACAAACACTTAATCCGTGCGGTATTAGAACTTTTAGCCCCGCAGCACCGCGACCAAGCGCTTAGCCACTGCGCTGTCTTATATTTACATAATTGATTTGCGTTTTCTTCGCAGGTAGCACGTTTCAGTTATGCAAAATATGCGCGGAGAACGACAAGGACATCAGGATAGAGCCATGCGGGCATCTGTTGTGCACGCCGTGCCTTACTGCTTGGCAGATTGTGAGTGTGTTTAATTTACATAATATTTAACTTTAGTCTTATTAGAATAAGGATTAGAAATGCACCTAGGTTTGATTTATTTATTAATAGACACAAAAGGACCCCATTCTCAACTACTTCGGACTTCCCTGATTGTACCTTATCACGTTGGATATATTTACAAATTTTAAAATTTTAGTGAAAATCGATTTGCCAGATTTGTTTACACAAATACTCAAGTCGATAAAAGCGTGTGAGGAATTAATGTCAACTTTTTTAGTATCTTAATAATTCTTATACTTTAAATGATTTGCATATACTGTTTCGGGTAGTTTCTTTTAAAACTTTTTTGTACGAATAAAGTGGTCCTTCGAGCCGAATACGACCCTGTAATTTTTTGTTTCGTAGCTAAAGATATTTTATTCATTTGATGCCTATTTTATGAAAGTGTATAAAGTATGTATATTAATCTACGGAGGTGTTAGAGAGTTTATACTCTTTTTTCAGCTTTTTATTTATTAACATTAATTTTTACTTTTGATTTTTGTGACATCTTTAATCTAGCAATTAATATCCATGACCATTTATTTTAACGTTTCTTATTTATTTATTGCAGGACTCTGAAGGCCAGGGTTGTCCGTTTTGTCGAGCTGAAATAAAAGGTACAGAGCAAGTTGTTGTCGACGCTTTTGTGCCACCGAGACCGCCTAACACTACCTCGGAAGCCAAGTAAGTTTTGTTTAAGTTCCAAATGTCAATGCGATTATAGACCGATTTACACTTCGACAAGTACTAGCGAGTTAACTTGCGAACCTGGCGAGTTACGCAGAAAATCTCGTTTGAATGGCAATAAACGAGTTAATTAGCAAGTTAACAATTAAGTTGAACAGAATAGCCGGCCGGGCTATTTTTCGGCGAGTTAAGTGCGAAGTGTTGCCCTGCCGCGCGTCTCCCGGCACCCGCAACTAAACTCGCCACTCGTGTGAACGAGCGGGTTTAGTTCAGTGCATAAGTTGACATGAGCAACGTTTGCACGCCTAAACCTATAATTGTACTTTTATAATTAAACTCGCCGCAAAGTTTGTACGATACTGTTTATTGAATATTTATACGTTTTATATTAAGTAGAAGTATTTAGAACACGAATGTTTATATAATAGTAGAAGTTCAAATTATAAAATTAAACCTGCTCAAGATGCTGCACTCATGAAAACATCTTTAACAACAACCAGTAATATTTCTCTGACTGATCTATCTTAAACGAAAACAAGAAAAATTCTGTAGTCTTGAAACGTTACACTCAAACGAACTCTATGAACTAATTTCCTTAAGTAAACTCGCCACGAAGACATTAAAACAACACACTCAAACTCGCTACTGTACTTGTCGAAGTGTAAATCGGTCTTATGACATAACTATATAAAGAAGAAATAGACTTGAGGTGTGGGTTAGGAAAAAAATTACATTGATTTTTTCTTACATTACTCTTACCGTTACCGTTGCAGCCTCCCTCATAGATTGCCTCATAGGGGGAATGTCTGCCATCAACCCGCTTGCCAAGCGATTTGCGAGCTTTTTAATCGTTATTAATAAGACTCTGTTGCCCAACTCCTGATTCGTTTCCTTCTATCCCCTCTTATGACATCCATAGGACGATATGGGGTAGTAGATATTCTTACATCGCCACTACAAGGTAACATTAGTCTAATTTTATTTTAACAATTTTTCTTAATGAGTGAATGAGTGGCATAGTCCGCAAGGGGAGATCTAGAAAGTTATTGATTAAATTGCTGATACATTGAAGAGGGGCCAAATGAAGTGTAACGTTAACCAACGAGCATGTATGCGAAGATATATGATGTAAAGTTAACGAGAGAATTGTGTCAAGATCTTGTCAAGTTAAACTTTGTAGCCTCTGCCTAACTTCAGGCCTCTGTCACTCGCTCTAGGCCACGCGTTATATGCCTACCGCTCTGCGTATCGCCCACGATACAACCGACATTGGGCTGCCGTGCGCCCGCCTGAGCGCTTGCACCGCGCACGTTCCCCACGCTTACTCCTAGAAATGCGGAAACCACGTAATTATTGTGCAGGTGTCCAAGTCAAAAAGGGTATTTATTATATATGTGTAGCAAAAAACATAACTCCACTAGCTTCAATGCTTTGTTTGTCTGTGTGTCAAAACAGAAGAAACCTAACGTTGACGGAACAACACTGTATGCTCATTTCAAAGCCTATAATAAAGATTCATTTTTTATGGTGGGCTAAAAGTCCCACCAGAAACGTTTAATAATTATATTGAAGAATTAATGAATCGGCCTGGCAGCACTTTGTTGCAAATTTTACAAAATATTAATTTTCCTCCGCTTTGCTCCTGTTTTCCTCATGATTATTTATTAAAATTACGCGATTTAGGATATTTTCAACGATAAAATTTAACAACCGAGAATTCAGAGAAGGAAAAAAATGTATAAATCATTTTTCAAACTCAACCATATTTGATTATCAATATAAAAATATGTTTATTTCGTAACATTCGTTTTTGTACAGGAACGGGAGGCAGGTGCTCTTCAATGATTTGATTTATTGAACGTTTGTTGGTTATATTTAAGTCGTCTTATTGCTAACAGTGTGTATCAGTTAATAATCAAAATTTAAAACAGACAGATCTTATAACTAATTGCACGACGTGCTGTGATTGGTTGCTAAGAATGACGAGCTCTGATTCGTAGCTAAAAGTTTGGTGTTCCGGTGCGTCGCTAGGCGGCGTTAGAAGTCGCGCCAACATGCCGGCCGCCTTGGAAGCTCCAGCTTCCAATGATGTATCTACGTTGCCGCTTGATTGGAGATACCGCAGGCTGCATTCATGTTGTCGTCCTCTGCTGATGATACAGGCAGAAGGCAGATTTTCGAGAACGCTCGTTGTACAGGACCCGTAGCAGTTTGGATGGTGGCGACACGCGACACGCCGTCTTTTCCGGGGAAAATATGGGTAACTCTGCCCATACGCCATTTAAGGGGTGGTAAATTGTCCTCCTTAATAACGACAAGCGTGTTTAATGCTATGTCTTGACTGTTCGCCTTCCACTTCGTTCTTGTCTGAAGTTCAGCAACATACTCTTGTGACCATCGTTTCCAGAAGTGCTGTTTTATTTGTTCCACTCTTTGAAACCGTTTCAAGCTGTGAGTCCGTGCTTCGGTGAGGTCTCTGCAGGCTGGTGCAGTGAGTGGCCGGCCGATGAGGAAATGAGCTGGGCTTAGTGGACGAAGATCATGTGGATCTGAGGACATAGGACTTATAGGACGGGAGTTTAGGACTGCTTCGATCTGTGCCAACACAGTGCTGAACTCCTCGTATGTCAAGTTAGCGGTACCCACGACACGCTTAAGGTGGAACTTACAGGATTTTACTCCTGCTTCCCACAATCCCCCAAAATGAGGAGCATAAGGGGGAATAAATTTAAATTCAATATTGTCAGTTGATAATCTATCAATTATTTGCTTTGAATTTCGCTCTAACATTTTGTTAATCTCTTTCATGGCTCCAATGAAAGTTCTACCGTTATCTGAGAAAATTTGAGCTGGTTTACCTCGTCGTGAGATAAATCTTTTAAGTGCTAATATAAATTCTTGAGCAGCTAACGTACTGACAAGTTCTAGATGAATGGCCCGGGTAACAAAACAAACGAATATGCAAATATAGCCCTTTTCCAATTTAGCTCCCCTTCCTTTGCGATTCAGTACGTTTATGGGACCCGCATAATCCACTCCACATCGAATGAATGGGAAACCAGGTTCTATTCGTTCAGACGGAAGGTTGCCCATGATTGGTGTTAGGGTTTTACCTTTCATTCGAGTGCAGCGAACACATTGGTGGACAACCTTTCTAGCTAGGTTTCTACCCCCTAACGGCCACCAATTCTCACGCACGGTGGCCAATAGCAGCTGGGACCAGCATGAAGAAGCTCTTTGTGTTGATGTTGAAACAACAATTGTGTGAAGTTGTGTTTACTTGATAAAAGTATCGGGTGCTTCTTGTCGTAATTAAAGTCAGGCGAGTTACTAAGACGGCCACCTACTCTAATTATATCCCTTTCATCTAGAAATATATTAAGCCTAGAAATCGAACCTGAAGTTTTTAAAGGTAAGTTATGTTTTAACTTATCATATTCCATCGGAAACGATTCGCGTTGAGCAAGACGCGCTAACGACTGTAAGGAGTCATTCAATTCGTCTACTGATAACGGCCCCTGTTTACGATCTTTCTTTGGTGTGCGTAAGTTATGTATGTATCGCAACAGGTAAGCGCCGGCGCGCACGATACGCTGATAAGAACGAAACCTTTCAAAATTAATAATTTTATTCTTTGTTACATCACAAACCATAACCGTTGTCGTTTGTGATTTTAGTTCTGGTAAGTCGGAGTGTGTAGTCGAAGATTGCTGTGACCATGCCGACTCAGAATTTTTTAAGAACTCAGGTCCGCTCCACCACAGATTACTGTCAATGAGTACATCAAGACTAAGACCCCGCGAGACCAGATCTGCTGGGTTATTTTTGGTTCCTACATGTAACCATAACGCATTACTTGTTATTTCATTAATCTCCACTATTCTATTTTGAACGAATGTTTTTAACGAATGTGGTGACATACGTAGCCATCCAAGGACAATAGTTGAGTCTGTCCAAAAGTAAATTTTGTGGAAATTAACACGCAATGACTCGATAATTTTCCTATATAATCGTGCGCCTATTAAAGCCCCGCACAGTTCTAATCGGGGTATGCTGACTGGTTTAATTGGTGCAACTTTACTCTTTGCACACAATAATCTAACAGTCACCGATGAGTCATCAGAGTAGGTGCGAACATATGCGCATGCACCATACGCACTCTGCGACGCGTCCGTGAATACGTGTAATTCTATAAACTGTGTGTGTGCGCTCATAACATGACGCGGAATACGTAGGTTATGCAAATATTGAAGTGTGTCAATAAATTTTTCCCAGGATAAAGCAACATCACTGAGAACGGGATCATGCCAATTTATATTGCACAACCACACTTTTTGCATCAATATTTTAGCTACTACGACAGCCGGTGTTAAAATTCCTAGAGGATCGTATATTTGTGCGATTATCGACAACATTGTACGTTTATTTAGTAAATTCGGTCTAACTACTCGTGTGGTAAAATGAAGTTCATCACTTTTATTATACCAACCCACTTCTAAAGTCTTAGTTTGGGAATGTTCTCCTAATGACAAGTCTTTAGATATGTCGTGGTCACTGATATCAACGTTAAACAACCACTTACGCAACGGTAAACAAGCCGAGTTTAAAGTATTTCGTAACTTCTCACAGGTATCGAGTAAGCTATTTAAATTATTGTCACCTAGGATGACGTCATCAATGAAAAAATCCTCTCGGATTACTCTCGCAACCTGCTGATCCTTACATTCCAGCGCAAGCTGACGTAAACATCTCATACTAAGGTATGGCGCAGACGCAGTGCCATACGTCACGGTGTTTAGGCGATATACACGTATTGGGTCCGGCGGAAGTTTACGCCATAATATCAATTGTAAATCTCGTTGATCTGGTTGTACAAGAAAATTCCGAAACATTTTCTCAACGTCCGCACAACCCACGTATTTATATTGCCTAAAGCGTAATAAAATGCTAAAAATGTCATTCTGAAGTGGTGGACCAATATGTTGAATATCGTTCAACGACTTACCGGACGACGTCGCTGCGCTTGCATCGAAAACAGTGCGCAGTTTAGTCGTACTGCTATTTTCGTTAATAACGCCATGATGCGGCAAAAAATAGTGGGGTGACTCATAAGTTTCAACGCAACTCATATGACCGAGCCTTTAATATTCCCCCATAAAATCTACGTAATTTTCCCGAAATTGTGGCGAAGGAGCGAATTTTCGTTCTAACGACAACAAACGTTTTTCAGCCGTTGTGTCTCCCAGCACATCAGCTGATTCCTTTAAAGGAATGCGTACGGAAAACCTACCATCTTCCATACGTTTTGTCGTTTTGACAAAAATGTCTTCGCACACACGTTCGTCAGCACTCAGGATGTTTTTATTAACGTTATTGTTTATCTCTTCGAGTTCCCAAAATAATTTCAACTGTGTGTCAATTGTTTGGGAGAAATTACATTGCACACTCTTAACGGGAAGTGGGTTATTATGTAAAGGTCCCGACATTATCCAACCCAATTTTGTATTTTGTAAATAAGGTCCTTTATTCAACTTAATTTTGCCATCACACAATAATTCCCAGAACTTATCCGCGCCTATCAGTATATCGATGTCTGACGGTGAGTGAAAGTTCGGATCCGCAAGTTGAATATTATCAGGTAAACTCATATTATTTACATCGACACCAAATGTGGGTAATTGATTTGTAATGCACGGCAATACTAAACAATCAATGTTCATACAAAACGAATTTAACCTTGAACGTAATTTTATTTTACAAATGTAGGTGGACTGCGAAATTGTTTGACCTACCTCAGCAACGTGATAAGTGGACTGTATTAACGGTGCATTTAATGTTTCACATAACGATTTCTTTATGAAACAATGTTGACTACCATTATCTAGCAGAATGCGTACAGTGTGATATTTGTTATTATAATCTGCTATGTCCACTAACGCTGTGGACAGCAAAACGTTGGGTAATAACGAATATTCCTGATTACTGTTTTGCGATTCTGAATGGTTAGCCGTAACGTGTAATGATGACGAGACAGTGGAGACGTTAGCGGTGACCGGCTGTGCTGATGCACTCGACCCGCTCACCTGTGATGCGCCGTCTACATGCCCATCAATGTGAAGCAAACTGTTGTGCCTTTTATCACACAACCTACATGGCCCAAACTTGCATTCGTTAAGTGGGTGGGTTGCGCGTAAACAATTGATGCACAGCTGATGCGTTTTAACTATCTTATTCCTTTCTTGGATAGACGAATTAAGAAACCTTGAACAGGAATAAATCGCGTGATTACCATGACACATCACACACACGCGGCTTTGTTTTAGTTTCGTATTACCCTTATTGTTATTGTTAGTAACGTTCGTAGCAACATGAGTATGTGTATATTGTTTCTTAGAGCGCGTTTGTTCGCCGCCTTTGTTCTCGTGGGATTTGTTATGGTTCACTTTTATCATTTCTAAAACGTCGGCGCGGTCTTTAAGAAATTTAAGTAAGTTATCCAGTTTCAAAGCTGACCTTGATTCAATTAACGAACTAGATGTACCTTGAAAATTTTCCCATTCGCGTTCAGTGGCCTGATCTAATTTGGAAACGACCATGTAAATGATTAAAGTGTCCCATGAATCTGTTGGTTCACCTAACGTTTTAAGGGCACGCAAATTTCTCAAAACAATATCTATTAAGTTCCTAATCTGGGAAGCGGACTCTTTATTTAACGATGGAAATTTAAATAATGCCTTCACATGATTATGAACCAATAGTCGCGGATTATTAAATCTATTCTCTAATAGCTCCCATGCGTGAGAATAGTTGTTAGCCGTAAATTCTAATGCACCTATGACGTGTGCCGCGGTACCGGACAATGACGATTTTAAATAATGAAATTTTTGAACAGGACCTAAATCATCGCGATCATGAATCATACTAACGTAAGAATTTTTAAACTCTAGCCAGCAATCGTATGAACCGTCAAAGGAAGGTATTTTAATATCGGGTAACTTTATGCCTATCGGCTTACATGTTGAAACACTAGACTTGTCAGCTACTTCCTTTCTCAATAAAAGTTTTGCAGAAGCTACAGCACAATAAAATTGATTTTCGAAACGATCTCTCTCTTCCAGCTGTTTTACAAGATCGAGATCTTCCGCTACCTCTTCTTCAATTTTAGTCTGTATTTCACTATACATCTCTATCAAACTCGAAGTACTCTCGACACGTAAATTTAATTCTAATGACTGTTGTTCAGTCAAGGGTAAAGTGAACTTTTTAACATAATTTTCAAACAGAGTTAATCGACCTTTTAAAACTCCTCTTTTCTTAATTAAATCTGACAATTTGGGCTCACTCATTTTGGGATTTAAGGAAATCAAGAGTACTTACAGTTGCCAATTTGTATATGCGTGCGAACCAAGGTGGGTGCCGTTGCGCAGGTAGGTACCGCCACTTCAGCACTGGAAATGGAATATCAGCACGAAATCAACACCTATCGAAGGATGAGATGGAGAAACGGACGGGAAGTTCAAACCTGCCACTCCTGTATGTCGATGCCTAAACGTTGCAGCTCTTCGCTCGATACGTGAATCTCCTCTTCGTATTTTGATGCGACGAATCTTCGGAGATTCCAAGCTTGAACTCCTTATTCGGCTCGATAGGACCACTTTATGTACAGGAACGGGAGGCAGGTGCTCTTCAATGATTTGATTTATTGAACGTTTGTTGGTTATATTTAAGTCGTCTTATTGCTAACAGTGTGTATCAGTTAATAATCAAAATTTAAAACAGACAGATCTTATAACTAATTGCACGACGTGCTGTGATTGGTTGCTAAGAATGACGAGCTCTGATTCGTAGCTAAAAGTTTGGTGTTCCGGTGCGTCGCTAGGCGGCGTTAGAAGTCGCGCCAACAGTTTTATTACAATAATCATCATAATATTATGTACAACCCTAGCGCATTCGTGCAATGACGCGCCTGCAAGTGAGTCGCACGGCGGGCAACTCAATCTCGACTCTTTGTACTCGTATTTATGGTACATTTTATTCTCGCTGCGAGCAGCAGATATTATTATTAAGATTCTGTAGGCTATTATAGCGTAGGTATTTTAGCTTTTGTATGGGAGTGATGTATCTGTTGGTAAACTATTTACTAATCTGTGCTAACGTGAAAGGCTTAAAAGTTTATGTATATATTTATGATTTTGAGCCGTGATAGCTCAGTGGTTAACGCTCGCTGTAAATATAACAGAACGCGAGTAACCCGGGTTCGATCCCCGCCGGCACCAATGAAATTGTTAATTGCAATTTTAAGTGCTGATTTACCACGTGCTCGGCGGTGAAGGAAAACATCGTGAGGAAACCTGCATGTCTGAGGAATAAGAAAAAAAAATATTTCGAAGACATGTGAAGTTCGTCAACACGCATTTGGGCAGCGCGGCGGACACTTCCTTGCCCTAAACCCTCTCTAAAATGAGGGGAGGCCTGAGCCCAGCAGTGGGACGTATATAGGCTGTAACTTTAACTTTTAACTTTAACTTATGATTTTTACAGATAAATTAAATAATATTTATAAATAAATTTATTACAGCCCATCAAAAGTCCGCTGCTGAACGTAGGCTTCCCCCGAAGATTACATCACAGGAAGGATATTTGCCATAGTTGCCTCGCTTGGCAGGCGGCTTAGCAACCGCTGTTTTTTAATATTTTTACTTTCCCTCTGACGCGTTTTATGACATCCACGGGATGATATGGGCTAATATGTTTATGGGCTAGTATGTTTTCAAACGCGGTAGTGCCATGCTGCAGCAATATTATGTTTGTAGCACGAATGTGTCCGCTTGACCGGGGAAAGACTACACTTTCACAGAATACCGGCGTGAAATATCAGCTCAATGCTGCTGTGTTTCATGTGGTGAGTTTAGAGAACCGGAGACCATTTTGTACTGGATACGAGGCATTCCATCTTAGACTTAATCGAGGATAGATATAGATGTCTATGGGCCACAGCTTCCACTTACCATCATGTGGACTGTTTGCTCGTTTGTCACCCTTATTCTTTAAAAAAAAATGGCTAGTTCATACATCGCCACTATCACGACAGGGAGGGAGTCCTACCATAAGTAACATTGTCGTTGAATATAAATATTTTTTCTATTCCAGAAACAATATTGTCAAGACTGCAGTGAAACCAGTGTCTTCAAATTCATCAGGGTCGTCGGGTTCGTCCGGTTGTAATGGCTCAAGTGAGTTTTTTTTAATCGTTAATTGTTTCAAACATATTTTTTCAATTATTTCATTGAAACTCTGTTATTTCTTTAAAAACTATTTTTTTTTTACTATTAAAAAAGTAAATGAGCGGACCAATAAAATCTAAAGCATCTGGCATCACATCTTCAGTCCTTCCTAACTTGAGGGTTGTTACGTCCATTAAGGTTAGAGAACAGGAGAACGATCACTTCGTACTAAAGCATAGCCCGCCTGTCCTTGAAAATTGTAGAATGTATAGCGGCGCTGACGTCAGTGAGTAGAGTAACTGCGAAGTTAACTGTTCATGAGTACAAGCAGATGAAGTTAGTTGAATAATGTACAAATTTTCATTTCATTTTTAATGAGAAAATTTTCATGCTCTGTAATTTTGTAATTTTTGACGAAATGAAACATAAAAAAATTGAGAAATATTTTATTGTGCGTGGATGTGCAAGTGGTTTAGCATCTGATCGGAAAATAGACTGAAAATGACTTATTGACCGAACTTAGCGATCGCAGCGCCTCACTTATGGCGTCCATATTTCTGGACATATTGTATACTTACTTACTTGAACCAAATGTATTAAGACGAGAGCTAAGTTTGTCCGCTCTCCGACAAACTGTTACCAGGCTTGTGTCTGTAACTCGTGCTACCAACGTGAAATAATTACCTACAATCGCGAAACCGCTTAGGACCGCATACACAATCGGGTTATTTTTAAATTTTTTAACGCTGTTAACGTAAATATTTTACTGTAAATACTTGTTGAAATAGTTTTTGTTTAGTGTTTAGTATATTTAATTGTAGGATAAAATAGTTTAAAGTTTTAATTAAATTTACAAATTATATATATAATGTATATTATCTATCTATTTGATAAATTATAATGGCAAAACGTCTTTCCTTTCTTCCGAGCCAAGCATCGCGATTCCCGACGAATTGTTGAGAATCGCAGCACTCACATAGGTGCGATAATAAGTCGTTCATAGTCAGAATAGGTACTTCACCAAAGTGACTTACTTACCATTTCGCATAGCATTATTTTACTGACAGCCCTTAGTAACAACGATAAGTCCGTCGTAACGTAGGAAGGGAAAAAGATGCAAAGTAATACGGACACTAGCGCGCAGCGATAAAGTTTTATTTAAGTTGCGTGCGCGATTTATCAAATTAATAATAAACATGTAGGCTATTAAACGTCGGCAAGAATTCAAGCAGTTCTGTACGTAGTACTATTATTTATTCTGTGCTGTTACGTAGTTTGGTGGGTGTGAAAATTGTACTAAAGATTTGGTCCAGAATAAATGAATTATTTATTTATTTATTTAGGTGGCAAGATTCCTTTTCTGCCTATGAGTCCGTCTCGCCGGTGACCATCCCCTTACCTATTTCTGCCGCCACATAGCAGAGCTTGCACTGCTGTGTTCCGGTCTGAAGGCACGAAGAGCCCGTATAATTACAGGCTGTGAAGCATTACGCCTTAGTCATCTGAGCTGACAACGCATCTACGCCTACTTTGGGCTTTAAAATTTTAAAAGATATTACCCTCACACTAGGACTTTCTCCTGTATCGTGGAGACATTTTATATACGTAAATTGTACAAGCACAAACATCACAGACCCAGGACAATTATTTGTAGGCCATACAGATACTTGTTCCGTGCGGGATTCAAACCCGCGGCCCCTAGCGCTACAACACTACTAAGTCATTGTACCACAGAGCCTTCATTGTTATTTTGAGAGTCAATTTAATCAATTTTGTTGATAAAATGACCTATAGAATGAAGTACATGGCGCTTTTGCTTTACACGCTTTCAGTATAAGATGCGGAAATATGTGTCAACATAACGTTTTCCATCTAATTTATGTACCGCGGGCTATACGTATATAACAAGTGGTAAAATTAAAAATTTTGTACAACCGACTTCAATATAAATAAAATGAGAATATCATCAATGTAGTCAAAGCCAATTAAATACGCATTATGAAGGATAACTTAAAAAGTACTGGTCATATCTTGATCAAATTTATATGGGACCACATAAAAAACACCAGCTTTCAAATACAAAAAAAAATCATGAAAATCGGTTTACCTACAAAAAAGTTCTGAGGTAACACACAAAAAGTTCTGAGGTAACACGCAAAAAGTTCTGAGGTAACACGCAAAATGTTCTGAGGTAACACGCAAAAAAATTACAGTCAAATTGAGTATCTCCTCCTTTTTGAAGTCGGTTCAAAGTCGTTTTTTTTTAGTAAACTCTCAAAATCTTAAATCTGTTTGCAGGCACGGAAGTTACTATATCAAGTAATGCAAACGGCTGGGCCTCCAGAAATACGACATTCAATGGGCTGACTGATGACATCGACGATTCAGAGGTAATTCCATTCTGTTAATTCATAATTTGAGGTAAATCTATTATTACAACTACTGAAGTATTTTTATTAACGGACTACTCACCCTGTTGTGCTAAACCTAGAGCTGGGCGTTCTTCTCAAAAATCATAACATGAAAATAAGTAAAATTCTATCTTCGTATCCATCACTGAATTTGTTCAAGGCAACTTTAAAATCTAACAAATATTCGTTGTAAGAAATTGGAAACCACTTTTATATTTCGAGGACATGTGAAATCTGTCGTGGTGCTCCTATGCAAGCAGACTTCTGAACTCCAAAATCCTTTCAGAACCACTTCCATCACATGGTAGAGACGTAAAAATATACACCACCCCATTTAGTTCCGTGTGTGTCGCAGGAGGTAACTTTTTACCATTGTAAGCCGGTGCTTGACTACTATCCCACCTGTTGGTAAGTGGTGATGCGGGCGAATGTGGTGTAGCCCACTAGTTTAGTTAGTTACGGGCAATGCGAAAAAAATGTCATGGCTACTGAATTGACGTATCGTATAGATGTATCGCACCAACTTACGTAACCAGATGTTTACACCGCCATCTATCGGTAACGAGATCATTTACGTTAGACGTGATATTATACCCAAGTCAACGTGGGGCAGCAGCGTCAAAGGTGCGACACGTCCGGTATTGGGGTTGCCAAACCCCCTGCCAAGCGTGAAATCCTCAAAAGGAGAGATCCGTGTCTCTTAAAATCGAGAGACCCATGTCTAGCTGAGGCAAATACGTACTGATGAAGCAAAAAGCAAAAGTACTGAGATTGGTCCTTCGAGGCGGATCTCTCTCTCCTAAACATTATACATTTGAATAGGGAATGAAAAATTAAAATAAATGTGGTGAGAATTGTAATACTATTATTTTGACAATAGTTGAATTGTTAGAAGAATAACAAACAAATAATTTTTGAAAGCATGCTCTTTGCATTTTGGATTGTGTGGCATGTTCGTGTTTTGTTTTCGGGTTCATTGTTTGTTGATGTTGTTGTAATCATTTGCGTTCCATTTTCAATGTTTTCATTACTGTGCCGGTTGAAACTTAACTGTGTTGTAACATTCATATTTGACAATATTTAACTGCTTTTGCCTTTGTTAAAATTGCAAATTTAAAATAAAAAATGTTGTCTTTTTGAATAAACTCAGACAGAAGATACTTTATATTTACAAAAATAATTGAATTACGTACGTTACGTTACGTTACGTAACGTAATGTAAATATTCATACGCTACTCAATTTTTAAATGTCGTTAAGTCTCGCGGTGTCACAGTTACTTTGACTTAAAGTGATAGAGACTGCACGAGAATACATAAGTATGAATAAAATATTCAGTCTAAATATGAACATTTCAGGGTATAAACTCTCTATCTCTAGATCTAATGATCTCTAATTTACTGTGTGCTCGGTAGTTAAGGAAAATCTTGTAATACTATTTAGGACTTGTGAAGTCGTTGATTAAAACTACTTGGTATTAATTAGAGATGGGCCGAACATGGATTTCACCGAAAACGAATATTCGGCCGAAAGTTCGGTAAAACTTTTACCGAACCGAATATTCGGCCGAACATTATTCGGCAGGATCACCTCGGTACCTAATCAATTTATGTCGAAACTTGTTACCGTAAAGCGCGCGGGATTAGCGCTGGACCCTGCCTCCAGCTCCCCCGCCACTGAGTAAATTGCCGGCACATGCTTATGTTTTGACTATTTTTGTGTTATTCTTAGTCAAAATTGATGATTATAATATGATAAAAATAAGTGGCAGAAGATCTACCATTTGGACTTATTTTAGAGCAACTGAGGACCAAAATAAAGTGAAATGTACTAATGTAATGTAATGTTACTTTGTTTGATTCCAAAACATTTTATTAAGCTTTTAGTAGATTTGAAGTAGATTTAACCCATAAATAAAATATACTTTCAACAGTAAAATTATGAAAGACATGGCATTACTTCAATACAGTGGACATTTTGAGTACCACATTAACGAATGTTCGGTGATTTAGCCGAATATTCGGCCGAATACGAATATTCGGTAAAGCTACCGAATATGCCGAATGTCGAATAAAAAACGTATATTTGGCCCATCTCTAGTATTAATCGATGTGTAGTGTTCGCGTAAATATAACAAATTATTACTCGTGAAGTCGTGTAAAGCTGTAAAGACTTAGCCAACTCCCTCTAAAAATTAAAGGTTTGTGCTCAGCAGTGAGATGTAAACAATACTGTTACTATTCTTTATACTTTTTGAGTCCAAACAACAATATTAAGCATTTAAATATTTTAAGATATAATAACCTCCATATTTTTGATGTACGCTATCCACATATGCATTTTTTTACTGGAAGTATTGATTTAGGACACAGTTAAGTTTCAGTCGAGCATTGCATGTTGAGCCTCATAGTAAAATGTCATTGTTTATTTTGCAGAGACGCGCGAGAAAATCACCGCATGCTTAGTGTTTTTACTCGCGAATTGCATTTTGTTTGCATTCGGGAGCTTCGCGATGTGACAAACATTCCATTATAGGATAATTCTAGATTTTTTGTTTACTTTCAAGTGAAAAGCAGTGTTTTTCTATATAAAAAAAAAAACATTTATTTATAGTAAAACTATATTGACAGCTTATGAACGAGGGAGTACACATCGTTTGAATTTTGCTTTTTGTTTTTCTCAAAACGGGCGGCTTTCTTTTTAAGTTAAATCGTTTTTAATATACGTTAGTGTAATGATGACTTTATACAAAAAATGGGACATAATTTATTGTTTATCAATCAATTTCTATTGAAATAATATCTGAATAGCTCCTAAAAATAATTCAATCGACGGGAGTATTTTGAAGTTACACTTGAATATTACACATTAAAATTAGTGTATTGAGGAGCAGCATGTTATTGGCAATTATTTGAATAAAATATATTATTTGATAAACAGATTTATGTATGCATATTTATTTATATCTTAAAATAGTACAAAAATGATAATGGAATGGATTGAAAGGTTTCAAAAATTCTGGCATTTAACGGTCCTTATTACTAGAATCAGACCTGAAACCGAAACCCTGGTGTCTGAGAAATAAAGTGAGAATCGTTGAGCGTTGAACCGCCCGCATTTTATTTATCTGCACACGACAGAAACAAGATCCAGCTTGATTCAATCAATCTGATGATAATAACAAAATGTTAATTGCGACATAAAAAACATCATTCAGTTATAAATTTCTTTGCCAATATTGCGATCCAAGTAAATTGTAAAAATAGAGCTACCGGTATCTTAAATCCTTAACTAGAACCGAAAGCAGAGCCGTACCCAAAAGTGAAACCTAAATAAAGAACCTTTACATACGGTTATTATGCTAAAACAATAAAAAAAATGAAGGCTATATAGTTAGATTGGTGTTCAGAGGAAGATTTAAAAAAAAATTAGACAACCGTTAATCAGCAGCTAGACAATGTTTAGAAAGAAATTGATTGTTCTGATTATGTTATGATAGTTCTGATTGTGAAAGATTGTTCAAATTGAGTTTGAATCGTGTTATGAACGGTTGTACCGTAACAGCAATTCGATTAAATAAATCGTTAATGAAAGATAAGTTTAAAAGTACATTTATAGACTAAAAAGATAACCGAAATTCCTAGTTGCTTTTCAACAGATGTCTTTTTTTCAGTATCTGTCAAATTAGGCTCTTTCAGTAGCTGTTAAATTCATAGACATAGAGTGAATGGACTGACATAGCCTCACAAAAGTGACCATTCTCGAGATAGAGACAAAGCGACTGTGCGGCAAATACCTATCTCTTTTCTGCAAGCCGAAGGCGCAGTGGCCCGAAAGAAATGACAAAACGATAAAGAAACGACGCCAGTCCCGACCAGACCGATCAGAATTCTAGAAAGAGACAACTACTGGCCGCACATTCGCTTTGTCTCTCTCGCACTTTTCGGTCTGTATTCATTGCACAACTAACTACAGAACGCACAGTTCATTCTCTATGTCTATGGTTAAATTAGTTAAATGTCAAAAAGTGCTAATTTTATGAATGTAATGATACTGCTTTTCACTTTTTGGCACATTAAAACAATAATACGGACGATTTACCATTTTGGTTTAAATAAGCAAAACAACATTTAATTTACCTTTTATTGGCTTTCATGGTAAATAAAAAAATAATTTATTTTCCCAATCAATGCGGGGAAATGTTATTACTATCCACTAAAAAAGATAAAACTATAAGTTTGAATGTATCTTAAATAATATCAGGAGTGCGTAAACTGATTTTCCCGGTTATCTTTTATATGAAAACGATATAATTTCGTCATAGATATCAAACCGAATGACAATTTAAATTCGGTTAATATTTTATTAACATCAAATAACAAATTGTAAACTTGCATGTATAATATAATATTTTTGTATAATATTTTTTTTCTGTAGTATTAGAAACACCGAGACCCATGGGGCCATCTGTGCAAAAGTAGGGCAAAATATTTTTTTTTAATTCTGTTCCATGGCACAACACATTATCGAGCGACAAACATGCTAATATACAGATTTTCACGAGTAATATTAATAAGATAAAAAATCAACCCGTCACAACCAAAATAGTAATTCGTCTGTAATTATTATTATTATTTTAATTTATACCCTAGTGGTTGTTACTTTATTTACACAATGCAAATAGAGATTGAACGTTAAGAACTGCATAGTAACGTTTATATTTATTAGAATAAATACATCCGCTTTGAGTGACATTTTAACAATTTTCATTTTCACTGTTTTTCTATTTTGTATTACGTTTGCATGCGTCGGGTTTGGAAGGCTAGTGCATGAGTATGTGTGCGTTTTTAATTAATTATATATCTTTGAATTTCATTCAACATCAGTAAAACATATTTATATTGTATTTATTAGTCACTTCCAAAAGCGATGCATTATTAAATATAGAAATATTTAATTATTTATTCGGATCAAAAGGTC